GTTCTCGTAACTACGCTTCGAGCTTCATTTCAGTACATTAATATCTGACAGATCAGGATGGTTTGATTTGTTTGTACCATTAGGGAATGTGCTGCACTCTCTTTGGCACCAGTAGGCAGAAAGGGACATAGGAAGTACTGTACTCGTGGGCTCACCTGGGCTGGATACATTAACTGAATTGATTGCATCTGTGAAGTCCACCTCACAAAACCCACTGGGACAAATTCTGCTGTCACCAATGAATGCATAGGGAACGCAAGTCCTCACTTTAATAGGATTAAGCGAATGAGACAAACCATTTCTCAGTGTATGGCTCATGATGTGTGCCAGATTTACGTACCATTTGCCAGAACTGAATGTAACTGAGGGGAAATAATTTTTATAAATTGATTTGTTTCCCTGAAATACAATAGAGGTGTTTGCACTATAATTGCAACAACTCAGAGGGATTCATCTTTTTTTCGGAAAGAAAAAAAGGAATATCTATCTATCTATCTATTTACCTATCTATCTATGTATCTGTATGAGCCTGAGCCTTATCCATGTGGAAATGAGACCACAATTATTGATTTATATTCTCAACCAAGCTATACACCTCGTCTCGTGATCTGTACATTTATGAAATGAGAAGGAGTCTTCATAGTCCCTTTGACAAATCCAATCGTTGTTACTACTTCTCCAGTTACTAAGTTTAATTTACGGTGCCCCCAGATCACAACAGAAAACTGGCTATTTTTCACAGATCTTCCGCAATGCGTGAATTGTGAAATTAGTTTATTGGAGCTGAGCACCCTGGAAATTGTCAGGTTTCCATGATATGTATCCACAGCTAGACGGGTGAGTAAGAGAGAGGAGGGAGAGAAAAGATGTCTCTGACACCTCATTGTTAGCGTTAGCATTTTGCAGGCCGACCAACCTACTGCCAAATCTACTTGCAAAATATGTGTGGTTTTTACCTAATGTTGTAAAACCATGAAAGCCATATTTTAAATGAAATTAATGCCACGTGTGTTAAAAATAATAACTACTCCAAAAGGAAAAGATACGTATGTAACAAACTGAAAGTGAGCCTTAAAGTGAAGACCTATATAAATTTGCATGTGAATCCTACAAAGTCAGCATGACTTTGTGAACAGACAAGTGTTAGTAGGTACCTTTGTTCCAGACTTCTTAACAAAAATTGCACCGTTACTTCTTGTTGAAAATTGAAAAAATATACTAATTCATGGTAGTTTTCAGTTCTCAGGCTCCCAGTTGGTTGGTATGCCTGCCTTGCTATGTGGTATATATCATTTCTAACAGCTGCCTTTGTGTTATTATGCAAAATTGCTTTCACGGTATTTTGGACTGCCCAGACAATAACCACCATCTCCCTACAAGCAATGAATTTTTCTGATGACCACAGCAACTGACTATGCAACCATGAGCACTGTGCATACAAATAACAGAAGTAGATACATACCACACTATTGTGCTGAAACCCAGCATTCCCAAACTGAAAGTGTATATATACATTAACTTCCACATATGCATTAAAAATAACAGCAGCAGCAGCAGAAAAAACAAAACAAACAAGCAAACACCAGAGGGGAAGGGGAGAGGTACACGTTAAAAATACACAGGAAAATCTATATGATGCATAACATTAAAAAAAAAAAGATTAAAATGAGAATAAGGGAAACACAGAAACAGCACTAGAATGTATCGATTTTTGACTGAGATCAAAGCAAAAAGCCAAAGTCTTAGGTAAACAAAAGTTAATAACAATCCTGTTTTGCATGTTTACATGCCAGAATAATATGAGATTGGAAATGACTGGAATCCACTGTTGCTAGAAATCTGACCACAAGTAGGACCTTGGGACAGAAGTGAGGAAAGAGGGATCTTTGGAAAGAGGATGGTCCAGCTGTATTTGAACATCAGCATACAGGTGGTGAAGTGCAAAGAGAAATATCTGGGAAATAACAAGTGATGAACCCTGTGGGTAGTGATGGCAACATCTTAATTTCCATATTAGGAAAATAAATGTAGAAGGGAGGCAGGAACAAGGAATGAGGAAAGAAAGTGAGAGATGCATCAATGCCATTCCTCTTTTGATTATACTTAACAAAAATTAGAAAACAAACAAACAAAAAAAAAAAACACCAAAAAACAAAAATCACTTGGAAAGGACAATGTGTAAAAGGAATACAACATTATATTAATACTTTTCTAGTTCTGTTTTAATGAGTTTGCACAGTTTACTTGCAACTAGAAGAATAGGAAGGAAGAAATGCAAGCAGTATCTGCTTCAGCTTTAGTAGGGGGATTTAAAAACTCAGGAGAAATTCTCACATGCACTCCTGACTACAATAACTTCTCAGAAAACTAACAAGTTTTTGCATAAACTCTGGTTAGAAAAACATGAGCATTTAAAACCATTTCTGTGCTTCTGAATCCCTGAAAGTCTAAACATTAAAATATTGAAAGCCCAAGAGAAATTCACTCTACCCAGCAGCCTGGACACGTACGCTAATAAGAAAAATAAAGCCTTAAATCTAAGAGCAAATATCTCTGTACAAACTGTGAGAAAGACAAGTCAAACATTTTTTTCTTGATATATCTGCAATAGCCTTCTTTTTATCGTCTTAAAGATTTATAGTTATTAGCATATCCACTATTGTAGTTGAAGGGATTTTATGATGCCCTCATCACAGAGCAGGCTCAGTCGTTGTCTTTCCACTTTCTGATGAGAAATAATTTTACTTCAGCATTATGCAGTCTTCATGCTTGTTACCTAGAATAATCAGGATTTCACCAATGTTTTTTTCTCAGTGTATCAGAATGAAAAGTCAATGAGTGGCTGTCCTGAGTGTCAGAGGGAAGAAATTCAGTTCTTCTGCAAACGGTGAAAGAAGCTCAAGAAACCAAATGTATATCCCAGCTATCTATGCATAATGATAATCCTTAACTCCTTCTAACGTTTTATGAGAAGAATATATAGATCTAAATGAAATAATTATTTAATAAAAGATATATATTTAGGTAAGAGATACAGCAAGCTTGCTTCCATCTCTGTCTGAATAACTTGGTTTTTGCAAGGTTGCATTTGTAGGGATTGACAAACAAATGCAAGCCTGAAAACATACAGCCCTAAAGTTATCTCTCAGTCCCAAATATTTTCCTTGAAGGGACCTTGCTTCTGAACGCTGTATACTTCATAAAGCAAGTGTAGTGCACATATTTTACAGCCGATACAATCTGAATTTGCTTCCAAAATTGATGGCTGAGGCAGTTCTCTCAGCTGTTTTTGGGTTTTCTTTTGTTTTTGTTTTTTTTTTTTTGCTATATCAAGTTAATACTCAAAGTGTCTGATACACTCTGTTATCCCATAAGATCAAAGAGAATTACCCTTAAGGTACGCATTTTTTGTAACTGATCGAATCTAGGAAGAAATAGGATTGCATTTGTTAGTTTGGCATCTGGTTTGTGCTGGTTAAACAGATCCCAAGAAGGAATACTTCTTTCCCAATTAGCTTAACATTTTTTTCCTACCCAGTATGAATTTCACCATACAGTTTTAATTGCAAAAATATATATATATATATTAATTAAAACCACTGACCATCCCCCGTAGCCAATCTGCTTTTTCTAAATTACTTTATTGAATCACAGAGCTTCGTGTAGCTTATAACATTGTTATGGCATACAAATGCTAAGAGCAACTTCTGTAGAAGAAAGAGAGAATACCTACATAGCTAGATATGAATTTCTACCTCAGTATGGAAAATACGTATGAAAACTCTACATAACAGTACTCTTTTTGAGATTTCGGGGATTGCTTTTCTTTTTCTTTTACCATGGTATTTCATCTAGATATCTTAGATACCTTTTGCTTTATCAAATGAGTCGCTTCTGCTGTTTCTCTACTGTTGAGATGGTTTCTGAAATGGCTTCAAAGTAGTTTATAAATGAGCATATATAGACATGTACACATACAAACTTTACAACAGATTATTGTCTGTTTCTATATATTATTGTAAACCCCTCTGGTCAGGAACCACCTTCCGCCAAACCTCTGTCATTCACAATGGGTGCCACATTTGTGACTTTATCCTTTGTAATCGTGCTGGTGAAAAGGAAAGTAGATTCTCTGGAACAATCAAGAAGTTCCTGCGGATAGTTTTTATCAGGCCTAAAACTTCAGCCTTGGCATCATATTTCATGAGAATCCAAGAGAGATCGGAGCACTACAGTGCTATTTTGTCTGCTGTCTTCATAACCACGCAGGAGATTTGCAGTGTGTCGTAAATTCAGTTTTGAATTTAGGGGGTCAGCTGACCAGCAAATAAAGTCCTCAGAGTGTAAACAAAAAAAAGAAAAAGATTTCAAAAAAGTACTGGGCAAGACTGACATTTTTCATGACTCTGTGCAGAGCAGGAGACTTGTTCTGCTGTTGCAGTCTGGCTGGCGCTGGGAGCCAAGACATGTGGGGCTCATTAAGTTCCAAACAAGTTACGAAAGTTTTAAGCAGGAAAGAGCTCAGTTTGAGGAATGAAACATTTGCTAGGAGCCTCCAAGTCGAGAAAATGTTTTGTTCTGCAGCTCTTTGCTTTGCCACTTAGTACTGCCAAGAAAGGAAAGGAAACTCAGGAAGTAAGGTTACCTAGTCTGAATGTACATCGTTAATGGCATGAAATTCTTCTTCAAAAGATGGAAAATTCAGCCCTAGTTGGGGGTGGAATCTATTAGAATGGATGAATCATGGCATATTTCCTGTATAACGAACTGCCCGAGACATTAAAAGAAAAAAATAAAATGTAGAAAAAGTCAAGGTTTGTCTTCAATTTGCATGGAGAAGCATAGGTATATAGGTATATGTGCCTATGTGCATATAAATATATATTCATATACATGTAAACAGTTGTAAGTTTTACATTTCAGATGGAAGACTGGTTTCAGGTCTTCATCAGAGGAAGAATAAGTAATGAAATTAATATATTCATAAAAATGCAGCTGCTTAAAGATTTTTGTACAGAGTCTTGTTCCGATCAGAAGATGTTGTCAGAAGCAACACATTGGCACAAAAAGAAAAATCAGACTTGATAATCAGCATTTTTCAAAATATATGTCATTAATCTACTCCAGAATCACTGCACTTATGAAGAGCAGAAAACCAGGGAACAAGCTTTAATTAGTATAATTTTCAATCAGGATGGAAACAAACGTCACAGTGTAGAAATATCTCCACAGCCAAAACACCTCACAAGCTGGCTACAGCCTAGCAAGTACAAATGATCAGGAGAAATGAAGGACATTTAGTGCTTCACTATTAGTAGCCAGCTCCCATTATCTCAGTCCACATAAAAGTTAAGCCTGGCAATAGACAGTTTTTGAAGCTTATACTGCATGGGGAAAAAAAGCCACAGAGTGGCCCGATGCTTTCTTGGCCAGCCTAGAGTACGTCTTTGAAGTGATCCATTTGTGATAACTGCCATTACTCAAATACCAGTTTAGGAGCTCAGTTAAAATATTTTATTCCTTGTCAAGTTTCAACAGGAGACTTCTTCCTTTCATTTTTAGAAGCTTTACTTTTGAAAAATCAATTATTTATATTTCAGATCAATTCCAAAAAAGCATCTGCATTATCATGATACAAAGCTAATTCCCACAATACAGCCGAGTCTTGTTCATGCATCCCAAGTACTCCCAGCCTTACAGTTCAATCTCGATAGCCTGTTAGAACATCCACTTTTTGCTTACTATATTTCTGCAAAACCTAATAGAGTATGACCCAGTTTCTTCATGTACACTGATATACGTTACCTTAAGGAACAAGGCACCTGAAACAAAAACATCTTACACACCTCCTTGACAAAAACTGGCAATCTCTATGACTTCATTTCTTTCACTTGTAGGGTCCAGCCAGCCAAGAACCCACCGGGGTTCAAACATCTCTCAATATTGCACAAACTTAAGTACATCATTTACACAGGAGTCACATACGTATAATTTGTACCGTACCTTTCAAATTCCAACTTTTCAACAACGTCTTATTGATTTGTAAGAGAGGTATCTGACCTGAAAATCCACTTTGTTCCTCTGTGGATGAGATGAATGGCAGATTAAAAAGCAATAATTTCCTTAGAGAAAAACACAAAGCTAATGGAGAACTTCTTGTAGATTTGAAGATTTTTGTTTTACTTCCTGGGGGGAGGAAAGAAAGGAAAAAAAAAGAGAATTTGTGAGAAAATACATTAAAAAATAGATTTGAGCAAAAAAGTAGAACATGAAATATATTGCTGGAATTGATTATTAACTCTGTTAGCGGATATGATCTTAACTTTCTGTCTTAAACTGTGTTATAGAACAGCTTCCCAGTGAAACACTAACAGGGGAAAATCTATCTTGAATTACTCTCATTACTGTGGAAAATCAAAACAAAGACCAGTACTAGTAACGGTAATAATATATATTAGTTGCTGAATTATATATAAACGACACAGTCCTGAGTGATCTGAAAATTTTGATTTTGGCCATGAAAAACCTCGTCACAGGCTAAACATATGGCTAAACATATATGTTCATTTACCTGTTGTTTCTGAACATTGCCTGCTTTTCCTCACCTAAACTACACTTAATTTTTGGTTCTGCAGTTTGGGAGATTTGCTGACAAAAGCATTACCCATTATGATTACCTTTTCTGTATATAAGGGTAGAATGCGTAAATACACACATGTATAATCAGCAATGTAGGGAAGTTGATCTAAAAAAATTACATTACTAAATAGCAATGAAACCAGAGCAATTATATTGGTTTTATAAGTTCATCTGTGCGCTCAGGTGGACACTGGTGACAGAAGTCTACTGAATATAACAACTTTGACTACATCAGAAATTTATGTGAGTGTATGCGTAGATATATATATACACACCAAGCAATTTTTGCTGTTTGTACATCGAGCTGTACTTCACAGGGCCTGCTGCATGAAGCAGCCATTTTATATTGGGCCCGGATTGATTTTTTTATAGATAGATTCATATTGCGATGCCTTACAGTAAATTTCTCAAGGCTTTTCCTTGTTCTTTATTCTCCGTTTATCAAATGTAAAATAGCATTGGTCTACAAAGGTATACATAGCTCATGAAACTTGAAAGGTTTTAAAACTACGCAAGAAATTTCCTTTCGCTTTCTGGAAACGGTGGAAGTGATAAGAAAAATGTTTGAGTTGTAGGAAAGCATTCAAAGTACCTGACGTGGCAGAGGATTGTTTATGCTGCTCAGGTACAGGTGGTAGGAGGGGAGTACTGTCATAAGTCTGCAGACTCATGGCAGGAATACACAGCTTACGGCAATGAGTTAGCAGAGATAGCATCACTGCAGTTACATTAAATAAAATAAAGAAAATGGCATAAAAATTCTAGTTCACAAATAACTGTACCTCAGCTTCAAACACCAGTGGTAGATTTATGAAACGTGTACATTTTGTTAAGGGAATAGTCTTTGAACCAGCAGTTTGGGACACTTAAGAAACACTGAGAAATCAGCCAATCTTGTCTGGAAGTTACAGAACTTAAAGCAGGCTTGGGTTTAAGCTCAAGGACTTCACAGTCTGCTAGAATCTGGACAAGACCTTGAATTTCCAAGCTCCAAAACAGTGGAAGCTCTGTGTGTCACTGAGCTTGTAAGCTCAGTTAGATTCATGAACAGTGATTTTGCCTCACCAGTTTCTGTGCCCTTTGTAAAAAGGGGCCACAAAATGGTGGGATTTGGGGTCCCCTCTGGTCCCCCAGGCTGGCAGAGAAAAAAGAAAGAAAACAAGAGCATGTGCAGGAGAACTTTTCAGATTGCATGCAGCTCTCATGCAGTGTATTTGACTTATCTCAGTGGAGTGTGCACTGTAGGAAAAAAACATGTCACTGCTCTAAAACTGTCTTTTCTAATTCAGTGCATCCATGTATTGTTATAAATCGGTTTCCCACACACTGAAAGATACCGAGACAAGAGAGCAACTTTGACTGTTAGCTATCAGCTCAGATAATGAAAACTTTCTTTCAGCATTAAGCTTCCAGTATATGAAAAAAAATAAGACTAAAAATATAAATAAATGCCTTCATGCTTGGCCTGGAAGAGGTTCCTTCTAAGTGCACATAGGAATCAGGCGTTCACATTCATCCTGGTTCTGTTTCCAAGGGAGTTTTAAAAGCATCTGGAAGTCTACATTACAAATTGCTGTCCTTTACATTTCTGTATTTCTGAATCCTAATTATAGGGCTGTTGGCAGATGAAGCTGTCAGACAGTCAAGCTTGAGTACTTCGTATCTTAGTTTGGGTTTTGTTAGAGATTAATATAGAAGCATATCGAACACACTACTTATTCTGAGGTATCACAGCAAATTACCTATAGGTACACACATTTCAGCAGATATACTGGCAAATTTACTATAAACGTATGTCATGATGAAGGAAACAAAGTAATTATCCAATAGCAGATTTGAATATTGTACTTATCCCAAGGTCAAACATATAAACAAGGTAGTTTTGAATTTTACGGGCATTTACTGACGCTGAGAAACGCTTCCTTCCTACATATACCTGTCCATATTAGGTTGTCTGCTGTAAATTCTTAGTCTTTCTGGATGAAGAGTGATTAGCACTGAGAATATAAACGAGTCTCACTTTGTCACAATAAACAAAATGCTACTATCCGTAAGCACCGCAGGGAAACAATAGGTACTGTCTTCATATTAGCATCTCTGCACTTGACAGCAAAGATATATTTTGCCACATGGCTAAGTCTCGGGGCAGACAGCTTATTTATATAACTTTGGCTTACCAGTTTCCTTCATAAAGAATGAAACCTTCACTAAATGATAATCTTTTGACCTCCAACAGGATAGTGATTTACAGAGCCACAAAGACAACACTGTGTTTAAAAAGCTTTAAGACTCCATTTAAAGCTCTTACGGTGCAACAGAGCTTCTAATAATACATTTAGTGCTCCGAGTTGAGACAGCGTGCTGAATAAAGAAATACTTCTTACACGTTTAAAAATGAATTACTTATGATATAAATATATTTTACTGCAACCTGTGGAAAACAGCTTGCAAAATATAGCTACAGTTTCATAGTATCTGGTAGTCAAACAAGGAGCAGCGAGGGCAGAGTGGGAGGAGAAAGGCTGCATGACAAACCCCTGGATGTCTGATGGGAGAGAAAATGACATCCTTGATGTAAAAGCACTCTAACAACGTAAACTAGAAGGATGATGTACATAACCATTCTAGTGTAACGCACATGATTTTCACTTGGACAGATATGTTATTTAGATCCTGTCATGAAATATAAGTCTTCGTTTCCCTTCTACATCCAAGTAACTGGATTTTCCACTCAGCAAAGCAGCACCGTTAAGTAAGTTAAAGACACAGCATCAGATGTTTGAAGTTTAAGTATCCTCTCTCTTGCAGATCCATGTTATATTCAGACAGCTGGTTGTGGTGCATTTATTTCTAGAATACATTACTCACTTTTTTGCGTGATCATTTCTGGGTACAAGCTGGCATCTGCTCTGGTTTATTCACCTTTTGTGTTGGAATGAGGAGGAAGCATGACCTTGTACTGATGAATCTCTTTACACTAACAGCCAGAGCAAGCATGTTCTGATTTTTTTTTTTTTTTTTTTTTTTTTTTTTAAACAGAGAAAGTTGGTTAAGATTAGAACAGAGCAATTCATTGCATAGGTTAAGAGCCTAACCCAAAGATCTATGAAGTCAGGCTTGAATGTTACTCAGATCAGTGTAACAGAGAAGGAATCAGAGTGTCTGTTACTATGACAAGATGGATTTCTTGTGCCTGCCCTTTTTCCCTTTCTACTGGAAGATGTTATTCAGACTCTGACAGGAAATGCAAGATTTCACTTTTTTATACGTGAAAGTGACTAGATATTCTGCACATTGCATCACTTTGTGGACCACTCGCCAGGACATATTTTCTCTCCCAGCTGTCAAAATAATTAATGATTTGAATTAGCATTTCAATTAGGGGCTGTATTTTGTTTCTGCTGTTTTGAGAAGTCATACCTTGGTCACGTAATGGCACATTTCTGTGAACTTCTGGGATAAAGCGTGGCTTTATTTAAGGTACTCAAAGACCGAAGTGCTGTGATTTTCAAAAGCGCACTGAGGAGCTCTGGCTGTACATTCACCTTCCTGTGTTGGACATGTGGACAGAATTATCGCTTACAGGCTCTAGCCGTGCCTTTTAGGAAGACAGTGTGAACAGATGAAAGGAAGGAAAAATTCCTTGCCAGCTGGAAAGGAATGCAGACATGGGGATCAGCAGAGCTCAAAACGAGAGCAGTTATGGGAAAGTGAAGGGCCTTCATCAAGCTGCAGGTCACCTCCAGCTTGTGCATTGTGGAACAAAACAGTCCTGAGGCAAAGGGAGCAAGACAACAAAACAATGATGCCCTGATTGTAGCTATCTGGGTGCTTCAGGTAGCCAGCAGAAAGGGGTTCCAGCACCAGTGCTCAAGACCAGGGAACGGAGAGCAGCAAAAGCTGGGAAAAAAGCTGCAGGGGGATCAACTTGCAGCCAGAGCTAGCTGGAACTGCAAAAAGAAGGAGAGAAATCTCTGGAAGCAGCAGGAGAGTTGAGCCTGACAGGACAGGAGGAGAAAGGACTTGATAAGAAGCTGCAGCTTTTTCCTTTGCTTTCCTGATGAGTTGTGCTCAAAGCAGCAGCACACTTCTACTGCAGGTACTTAAAGATGTAAAAGCTTACTGAAGTCAACAGACATAAAACAAGCCTAACAGCATGATGTAATTTTTGTGTTCCTGCTAGAGGTGGCCAAGACTTTTTCAACTAATTATAGCTTCAGCAAAATATGCAGTTTCACCTAAATTAGTAATTTTGGCTGCAGAAGGAGTATCTGCTCCAATCCACTTCATTTCTCAAAACATTTGCAAGATTTTGTTTCAATTTCACTTGCTTGCCAAATGGAAGTAGATTATTCTCTAAAATTTTCACAAGGAGGAATTGCTGCCGGAAGACCAAAACAAATACAGTTCCCAGACCGTAAGAAATGATGTTCAAAATCTTTTTCTTTTTTCTTTTTATTCTAATCTGTTCTCTTCATCCCAGTGCCAGGAAAGGAGCATCTGCATAAATTAGCGCTGCATGTTAGTCAGTGACTGGGTAAATTTGCCATGGGAGGGAGCAATGAAAACATGGCTACTTTCCTCTGTTTGGGTGAAAGTCTACAAAACAGCAGCATGCAAAACTGAAGAAAACTAAAAGATGGATTACAGCCGTGGAAGAGCTTCTGTAATTTGTTTTCATATTGATTTATCAATACATAATATTCATTTGGCTATCACTAATCTCATTTCCCTAGACATGCACACACATTCTAGTAGTACTTTTTCATTTAAGACGTATGTGCCGAAGTTGAAAAACAATTAACCACTCTGAGGGGGAAAAGAGAGTCAAACTGTGACCCTTGCTCCTTCATCTGCTTTGTTTGATAGCAGCTTTATTTTTATCTATAATTTTCTTCTTTTTATTTCCATCATTTCACTACTGTGCCTGCTATCAGTACCGCTCTGATGATCTCCTGATAATATTCAATCAGGCCATGTATTCTTGCTATGATCAGTGTAACAGCGAGCATTAGGTTTGTTTTTGTAATCTTCAAATACTACAATCATTATCCACCACAAAGAGGCACAGATCACAGGAGGATGCATTTATGAACTACTAAGACAGATTTTTGTCTAAACCTGAGATTAAGTTGTATAAGATCAGTGGGATTTATTTCTAAATGTTTCAGAAAAGTTGGGTATTAATTAGGTTCCTTAGCAGAGGTAAATTAAATAAATTGATCACGCAGTGACTTCTCACTAAACCAAAGAGAATGGATAGATATTCCAGAACTGCCTTAGCAACCAAGGAAATTTTAGGTAACATTTTTGAAAGATGTTTAAATATCCAAAAATCTGAATGACCCCTACAGGAAACTTGGAAAACACCCTGAAACCAATGAGTTAAGTACCTTCACACAGTTGAATTTCAACTAGAAATACCAGTCTAGCTGAATATTTAGAACTAAAAAGATTTAAAAATATATGTGCCTGGCAGCTTCATTCATTATGAAGGCAAGAACTGGACCCGTAAATAAAGCATACTGAACAGTTCACACACTATAAAACAATCAGATTAATTTTTGAATAATTGGATGAGTGGAGAACAGAAAGCAAATGAGAGAATGCAGTGGTACACCAAAAACATAGCATGCCCTCCATCCAGGGCTCGCCCTATCGTAGGGGGGCAAGCTCTGTAAGCATAGGGACAGTCAGGATGGCTAATGCAAACAAGGAGCTGAAAGTAGAAATGCCTACATCAAAAAAGGATGCACTCAGAACTGTTCCTCAAACAAGAGTAACTGGAAAATCTTCAGCTGAAAAATCTTAAGGAACTGGTGCAAGAAAATCTTCGTATTGCAGCAAAAACTATGAACCATCCCAGACTATAGGAACAACGCCTAACATAAACATTGTTTAATACGAAAGGGCAACAAATTCAGCTGTTGGTGATATCATGATGAAGTAAGGAAAGTGAGATTTTGATTATATACACAGTAAGTCTAGTCCCGGAATTTACCTTGTTTAACAAAGACAGTTCAATCAGAATAAAGTTCCATTCTCATTAGCATCTCTATCTGAAAATAACTCGTGTTATGAATAAAAGAGTATATTCTTCTGAAGAGAAAGAAAGCCTGTTATATCCCATGCAGATGCGTTACTACAGTCAACACTTTACCACATTACAGCAACTCGAGGCTTTTATTTCGGGAAAATGTAGAAGTAGGACTGAATGATTATTCTGGAGACAGGAAAAAAGGGGTAAGAGGCACAAAGGACAAGTTCTGCAGAACTTCTCTTTTAAGCAGCGTATTTTTGTAGACAATACCTTTTAGGAGAGTCTTTCATTAGTGTAGTCAGCTGGTCAACTAGTCTCCTTCTGAAGAAATTGACATATAAAAGAGCCAAGAATGGAGCAAGAAAACCTTGAAAAAAGTATGTTAGAGATTTTTTATAATATGTAATATGTTTTTATAATATGTAATTTTTTATAATATGTAAGGGAGCTATAAGATGAATTTAGTAATAAAGAAGTGAGTTTTAAAAGAATAATCACGTTTCACAAATTGCAACTTTAAGAAAGGCACTTATAATGTCTCTATTTTTAAATTTTAAATATTATTTAACTCTAAAGCCTAGCCTGAAGAACTTTATTGCAAAGAATAAGGGAGGCATTAAAACGTTGAGTTATGTTCAGATTTCTTTCAGTATTGCACTATTTCTTTCTAGTAACTGCAGAAATGTGCACAAAATTACATATGTGCCATGGGTTACTAAACGTACCTTATAGTATTACACCTGAATGTATAAATAGAGATATACCCAGGTCCTCTCACATACTCTCTGCAATTATTCTGTACACAGATCACAAGCTATCAAAAGGGAAATTAATGAGGACCATTACGGAAAAAAACTAAGATGCTGATGACAGACAAATTTAATATTGTTGGAGACAGAGAATTAATTCTCGTCTTTGTACTTCCAGAAAAAGCTAAAGGTCATATCCTGAAGAATGTAAAGGTGAAATGTTAAAAGGTTTTATGATAATGCTAATGCAGACAGGCAATTAGAAGTATCAGAGGTTTGCAAAGCTTTATAAACTCAAGTAAATTAAAAGCCAGGATCAAGGAGAAAAGAACAGGAGCTTTTTGGCGGTTGTTTAATCCCTGGTAGTGTGAGCAACTCTACATGCCCAAGCAGGGTTAATAATTTAGAACTGATATTACAGAAAAAAATCCTAAATGGATAGTGCAGACCTATGCACTCGCTAACACTAAAGGTGAAATATTGATAAGAAATGAGATACTTACACATAATTTAAAGCTGTTTGAAACTGCTGAAAGCAGCATGGTTTCAGGAAATAAATCGTTCCTTCAGTGGCATGTGTTCTGGCCAGAAGGAAGAAGAATCGAGTTAGCCTGTGGGTAAAAGCAAAAGGGAATTTTAAGGAGGCTTTGAATTATTTCTAATCTATGGTACAACTTCTCAAATTTGAAGCTCACAAATTGTATTCTAAGCCAAGACTAGGACATTATCTTGGTAGATGAATGAAGCATTCAATGGTCATGTTCTAGCCATGACCTGTTGGCAATTCAGCCAATGCTTCACCCTTACCATTGACTTTTATTTCACGTACATTACGGAGCCATGAAAGTTGCCTGAATCTAGAGGAGAAAACATACCATGATTTTTACCAGTGATAGGCTTTTGCATGGACTCACAATAGTCATATGATACTCAGTTTTGAGGTAAACTTTGTATTTGTTCAGAGGTATTCAGGAACTGTTCAGTTCCTCAAGACAAGTGAGAGAAATTCAATGGTGAATAAGAAAGACACAAGTACTTGGAGTATATAATAGCATAACCAAGAACAACTGTAAACAGCAACATAGCAAAAGCCCCAGCTCAGTCCACCAGTCAGTGCCATGAACTCCATGCTGGCTGCTAGTCAGTTTTCTTCTCAGTGTTTATTTCACCTTCACTTGTCTGGCACCTCCATTATAAGACCCATGCTGAAGAGCATGTCTTCACAATGACCTCACCTCCTTGATTTTCAGATAAATGAAGCACTGCACAGAACAGTTTTTAGATTAGGGGAACTAATGTCAATTTTAGAAGCAGCTACCAATTTTTGATCAGAAAACTAATTTTTCTAATAACACTATAAAATCACAGAGCACAAGGTGTATATTTCAAGACAACCAAACGTTTTATGGCCAAAACAAGTCAGAACAGCATTGTGAAGTTTATACTGTAAGACAGAGGAGACAGAGACTTTAATGTATTAGATTCAGAAAAGGTTTTTCTAACAGTCAGCACTGGTAGAGCACTTCCTAGCAATTTCTGAATATGGATGAATTTGCATTACACTTTGCAAACAAAACTGAGAACAGCCATCCAAGTTATCTTTGACTGCTCTACCCTTCTGCTGGCCAGCTGTGAGCTCTGGAGGAAGTCAAGGTACTCTCCTTCCAGTACAAATCCAAAGTCCAGACAGAATTACTGTTTGCTGTAGCTGTTGGTACTACAAAGATGTAGGCTTGGCACACTTCTGTCAAAGTTGCAACGGGACTTAAAATCAATACGCACAGAGTGACTGCTGATTTCACGATGCAAACACTCACCCTAGAAGAGTAGATAGCGTTGGACAAGACTGTGTTTGGAGTAAGTAGGTGATGTTTCTTGTATCCAGCATAATAGCATGAGGCAACAGTCTTCTCTGCTAGATTTTTTATAATAAAATATTCTGTGCTTGAGGCACAGAGCAGTTAACCTGGCATGAAAACACAAGGTGCGTCTGGTATATAGTTAATGTCTCTTCAGCTCAGCAGTGGCTGGCTCAGTAATTCCCCTAATATTCCTGAGAGAAGCTGAAGAAAAAAAAACACACAGCTGCCTCTGCTGAGATTGCCATGAGTGCAATCTGCTTACTCAATTATTTGTTCTTTCACAGTAATAGCATAAACATTTGCATGTGGTTTATACGTCCAATCAGATTTCCTTTTCCGTATTTTCCACCTCGTCTCTCAAAAGCCAGAGATCTTGCTTGTTGGAAGTATATGTATGTCTTAACTACATGACGGACATTAAAGAAGCTGAAATTAATGAATTACCCTCATAACAGAGAGTTTATAGATATCCCCAAAACAGCATTATTTAGAAGTATTGTGTTCTCAAATATATTAGATAGGTTGTGCTTCTCCTAGAGCTAGATGTCATGTTTTTGTCTATAAAATATGGAAATTGTTTTCAGGTCTGCAGCTGAAAATAATACCTGGGTGATATATTCAAGAGAGTGTCTGTACTCGTGTCTCAACTAGTAATCATGTTTTATAAGGCTGTCATTATTACTCTTGGCTTGAGCTCTGTTAATATATATGTATTCTTCAGAAGAGAAGTACAACACAACATTCTCAAGACTTGCAAAGTAAACTATCATCCGATGCCTTGGTATTAGAAGGAAAGCAAGCAATGAAAAGACAGGGAGCTGCTTCTCATTAACTATTGTAAGATGTCAGCAAGATTAAGGTGTCAGGGTATAGAAAGATGAAGAAGAAAAGAATTACTTAGCAAATAGGCATAAATGAATATAAAATGTGAATAGAAGGTTCTAGCTTCTTCTAAGGGTAAAAATGGGCCAGTAGACATTATATTGTGCTACAATCAACTCATCCACTTGATTCTGACCTTCATCCTCATAGGTGAGAGGAGCGAGAGCACATAGCCGGTGCTGGGAACTTTCAGAACCATTATTTCTGAAAAGAAATGAATATTCAAAGGCCCCCTAGACATAATGAAGGTTAAATCCTATGTGGGGTTTTGTGGGCACATGCAAGTGCTGTCTGGCTTAGCTCTAAAAAAGCTTGAGTTCAGTCTGTCTGTGAGCTGCTGGGGGGCTGCACAGCCACGTTAATGCAGGGCTGAGCTCCTGCTCAATGAACTGGTGATAAAGACAGAGCATTACTTTGTCATCTCACAAACGCAGCTACACAACAGGCAATGGGTCTGGCAGAACAAAAATATCATACAGACATACATACACGCAGAGAAGTCACTTGGCTGCAAATTAGTACACAACTGACTCTTCGAAACCACCTTAAGTATCACTAGCTAATAGCAGCTATCACAAGCTCATACCATTTAAATACCTGGAAGATATTTAAGTTCAATGAGTGAACAGTGCTTACCTGCCAATGAGAGAAAAACAGCCCCATTTTCTCCAAAGGAAAGCAATTCCAGCCAGGTATTGCCACTACAAAAACAGCTTTTCTTTGTAAGGGTTTAAAAAAAAAAAAAAAAAACAACAGGCAGGCAACAAACAGTATAGTAAAAACATGGTATCACTTCAGGAAAGTATTGTGCAAATTGTGGACACTATTTGAAGTTGTTTTTACTTGAATTTAATTCACAGTGGTCAGTTACAAGTAGAATGGCCTTTCCATGCCTCAATAGCTGCTCTACAGCCATGGGCACATGTTGTGAGAAACCTATATTTCTAAAACCTAGAAGCATTTCCTGTGTCATGCACTGATTTAAATTGTGAGCCAATTTATCCGAGCTGATTTAAAACCCAGTATGATTGCTTGAATCAGATTTATGCAGATAGGAAAAGATGCATCTGTTTCCTCAGCAACAATTTCAGTCCAGAAATTGTGGAGGAAAAGCAAATCAGGTTGTATCCAGCCTTCAGAAATAAAAATTACTGTTTTGAGACTGAAGCTGGCAGGAAAAGGATATATACACACGTTGTTCCTAGGTGACTCTTAAGTCACAATTTTTAACACAGATAAAATAAAGTTAGCTACCAGATAACGTTAAAACATCAACAACCAAAACAAGCAAACAAAAACAAAGGAAGGAATACAGCAATATCTTAGACACGGCATAAAATATTTACCTCACACTATCATTACAGTTCTACAACATCTTATGTCTATTTCTACAAGTGCCTCTGTGGTCAACATGTACATCAAGTGCAAATTTGTTTGCATTTAGTGAGATGCTGTTTGCTATATGGCTGGTAACGCTTCTGGTGATTGCAGGAAAGAAAGCAAAAGCCTGATGGCTACAGCTAAGTTCATAGTCCATTGTTTTACAAAGGTGCACTTTTTGCTATACTTTCCTCTTTTTATTCGGTAGGTTTGGAAGTATCCCTCTCTGTCCCACTGCACGATAAAAGCTTTGCTCTGGTTCCCATCTGCCGTCTTTGAGAGATCAATTGTAGAATATTCATCAGTGGAAACGTGAGGCTTTTGCCACAGTTTCTCTAAAAACCATCTCTTCAGTCATATGCAAGCTGAAATGGATCAGTTTTCACCGGCATTGGCATTAAGCCTCTGTGCTCTCCCATGCGCTCTGTTCAATAATTTAAGAGGAGTAGGAAACAAATTATGTGACTATTAATTCCAGTTTTCTTGTTCAGATGCCAGTACATCAAAAATAGATCTCACCAGGCCCGAGCACTTTGTCATGTTATCTGGAGTAATACTGGTTTGTGAATTATGTCTGGTCAGTTTAGTGTCTCTGTTTGGTCACATTAATCTCTTTGACCACTGCCTTAATCACTGAACTCTTCCATCTCATTTTTCATCTTACAGAAAGAAGCTGTCTGACTTTTTGTCTAAGCGCCTGGCACAGTGACTGCTCTGATGGCCCCGCAGGAGCTAGAGGAACCCAGAGGTCTCCTGGGTGGCAGCAGGACCAGCCACAACGGGCACCATTTCACCAGGTTCAAGTATCTCATCCGTTCCCTAGCGACCACGCAAATACCACAGTACCTCAGAAGGCTAGCAACTTACTGACCAGGAAGGTAACGGAAAGTAACAACACACCCAGGCTGCATGAAGATCAAATAATTGCCAATCTGCTGACAGAAAATAACTAGTAGAGAATTCTTTACTTGTATGTGTGAGTTACATCAGCCACAAGATGCTTCTCTGTATTTTCACGATGACAAAAAAGCCAGCCGAGCCCATTGCATTTACTCTTTGTATATAATCTTGGTAAGTCCATGTGGCAGATACAATTTTGAAACCTATAGTTACATATATCTATACCTCCATTTATTACTTTATCATAAACTAGTAAGTACTAAAGTATAATTTCTAAATATTAATTGCATTTAAGATATATTTTTTTTCCTATTAAATGTGTGCAATTAATACAAAAAAATATATATTTCTACCATGGAAGCCTATAAAAGCTATGGACTAGAGGCAAACCTATCTGCTTCTGCTCCAAAAGCCAATAATAAATACAAGCGCCTAGACACTGTAGTATGATATCAACTCCCTAGATATTTTATAAACTAGCTAGCATACAATGCAAGAAATATTAGGTTGTTTACAATATCTAGTTACCTATAGGTCTTTAGAATGACATTTCATCAAAGAAAATT